TGATAAGATCTTGAGAGATGCGGCTTGCGTTCGACTTCAACCGGTAACGCATGAAATGATTGCATGTATGTACGGCCTGTGGCCTATAGAGTGACTTCTGATGGCCTACCGATGTATTATATCGCACTTCTCCACCTTAACAGACCACTCTTCGTAGTAATTTTTCAACCCAGGAGGGATAAGAGTTTCATGAGCCGGGACATTGGATCGAAGCAAAAAGCTAGTGTATATTACAAGGCATCTTTGACCATTATTCTGCACGTGCCCTCGTAGTACATTGAAAAAAAAAGAAGGTTCATATTTTTGTTTAACGTTCACTATCAACGAGCATAAAAAGCAGCAGTTGAGTGTTTCCAGACATGGGGCTGTAATCTGGAAAGATGAGCTCAGACTGCTGTTAACAACTGCACTCAGAACCCACCCCAGTTGGAGGCACAAACGGGAGGAATTATATGGAATGCCATGTGAAAATGACCAACAATGCAATAGATTCAATCCTGCTTTCTGTGAAAATGGACTATGTGTTAACGCCGTTAGACCATCCACGACAGCACCACCGACAACAACATCGACAACAACAACCACAACCACAACAACTACAACAACTAGAAGAAGAAGTACTGACTGCGCAAGCACAGCATTTCCTTCCACCTTCAGAGAAGTGGCGCTAGGAATGCATAACAATTTTAGGTAAACCATTAGAAAGAAAAATATATTTGCTTTATCTATGCTGCCAAACGTTCCACATTCGAACTGTTACATAAGCTGAACGTGCATAACGGAAACTTATGCATGTGGGAGATTTGAAATGCATCGATTTTTTACGGTTGAAAGACGAGTGGGGGCGGAATAATGTGCTTTTGTGAAAGAAAAATTAGAAAACGCTCCTCTTTAGATCGCTTGTTGCGAGAGGTCTTGCCAGAAACGCTGAACATGCAGGTGAAAATGCACCACCGGCTGCAAGAATGGATTTGATGGTAGAGTATTGCACTTTTTCTATTACGGTTCTTTTTCTTAGTGTTTGATGCTGCCTTCGGTATTTCAGGAGTACGACTGCCAGGCCGAGCAAGTAGCGCTTAATCATGTTAGGCTATGCGACAGACAACCAGCACCGCCCTCTGCTCGACCCGGTTACAGTGAAAACATTCACGTCCTCGCAACAACTGCGACAGATTTGCTGGGAGCTATCCAGAATGTGAGCCGGAAAGTTTCTCTCTAAACAGAAATCATAGGCATTAAATATAAAAGAAAGGATAGCGTTGATCTCTCCTTGGCAATCCCTGAGAGATGCACCATGCATTCTACTTCATTAAGCATCCTTTGGAGTTGACTGAATGCATATCTTGTCTTTACAATAAGTCGCGGTGGTCTACCGATGTATCGAGCCAGTGCTCCTATGCTTCTAGACAAGTCTGGCACCAGTTTGCCAGCCCCGGAGGGATGAAAGGCTTGGTGAGCCACGTACGCGCGGATCGATTTCTCGTGTTTGTTGCAAGGCGTTTCCGACCACTGCACCACGCGCGCCCCTCAAAAGTCGTTAAATATGCCTCTTAAAAATTAGTGCCGATGAATAACTGGCTGCATAAACCGCTGAGTTTTTATAGGTTGAAATCCCTTGATTTCATAGAAGTCGTTTCCTTCGTTTAAATTCTTCCTACTTCTGCAGGCAATTGTAACATTTACTAACGAACTCGGAGGAAATGGCATTCCTTCCAACATGTTATTAACGCCTCATGTCCTTCAACGCACCCAAAGAACGGTGACAAGAGTAAGCAAGGTTTGTGTCGTCATAATAACTGCTTCAATGATAAGGTCTGTCTAGTTCTCAATCACGTAGTTATTGCAGGTTCTCTGGGGAAGCAACAGATTCATGGGCTGTGCAACTGTACCTTGTAATGGATTCTACTTTACTTCTTGCATGTACCGAGATCCGTTAGTTTTTAGAACTCTAGACGGCCTTTATTTTCGCCAAATGTTGGAAAGGGCTTTGCCTTGATTCAGAGTTAATATCGTCGGAGCTCCCATCTACTCTATCGGCGCAGTCTGCAGCGCTTGTCCGACTGGTCCAAACAATTGTGATGGAGCTGTTGGCCTTTGTTCATATTAAAAAATGAATGCTTAATTTGAGAGCTCTTCGATAACGAATGCCTCCTACTCCAAAAGCATTTTCAATTCCTTGTGCATGAAATGTGGGCTACGTTTTGATTTGCTACTTCCTCTGCCTAGCAGTTCATTATGTGAAATTTTTCGTTTGGAATCGGAACTGAGTCATTGCATAAACATCGGATTTTGTCAGTTTTATAAACATTCTGCTGAACAGCACTACGAAAAATACTCGCGAAAACCGTTACAATTGGGAACAAACGTAGGACAATAGGTGGGTCATTTTTTGAGGTACTAGGTCGTTGATTAGTTTTCACATAATATTAAAGTGTTTCGAGTTAGCTGAATAATTTGAAAACTAATCAGCGCTAGCGATTGATAATCCCCTTCGCCTAGCGATGAATAAAGTATTGCTGTAAAACAATGCTTGAGAAGGCCGGTCTGGAGGAATTCGTTTGCGATAGTATATATACCTCCCAATACTATTTGTCGTCAAATAGTTCGTAACCGCCTCTATGACCGCCCATGTGAAACAACAAATTACGTAATTTGCCTTTACGGCAGGGACGGTGATTGCATGAGTTCAGGTACGATATACCTGATCTCTTGTAGTAATTGCGGAGATGAATATATTGGCGAAACGGGCAGACCTTTGTGTATTTGTATAAAAGAACACCTAGATGGCAAACGAAAACAGGGACGAAGCACCCCACTAGGCACGCATGAGATACAAAAGCATAGCGGAGGCGATTTTGAAGTGAAAGTCAATGTCCTCGCATAGCATGCCAAAACACCAGCGCGCAAGCTTCTTGAGGCTTTTTGTATAAATGCCAAAAACCCTTAAATGGGCAGCAGGGAGGAATGCCCCGAGATCACACGTTATCTCGCCCCATACCTCCGCATCGTTCGTTGATGTGGGGAGGTGCAGTCGTCAACCGTATGCGACTCTGATCATCTGCTCTTTCTTAGTGGAAGGCTTGTAAAAACGGTAGGTTTTTCGAGAATCTGTTGACCATGTGACTGCCATTTAGAATCTTATTTTTCTGTATGTGCTATTGAAGCGTTTGACATAGTAAATTGCATATCACTACGGCTTCCAGGCTCTGAAGAAGGCGATTCTGGTAAAACGTCAGCTACTGTTGTGTTGTATGAGTGTTTTGTATGGAAGTAAACGTATACTGTTTAACAACCTTGCGATTGCTGAGACAAAAAACAACGGATCTCTTGCATTTCTTCGTTTTAGTCATAGTGAAATTATAACTCCATGCAGCTGCGCAAGTTGTCACGGGTTGAAAAATAAACATTATGAACAGTGCATAGTGCACCAACTACTGAACAGGTCATATAGAGCAATTCACTGAACGACACAGACGTTGTGTCATAGAATGTGTCTCAACTGGACATTAGTGATCGGTTTTCTCCGATCTTATACAAAGCAGTTGCTCTTACAATTAATATATTTGGCATCGACAAGGAAATCTTCGGACTATTCGAGAGGATTGTGCTATTTTGTGAGCAGGTGATGAAACGGAACTGCGACAATTCAGAATATTTTTAGTCCTAGTGTTCAATGATCACTGGTGCAAACAATGCACTCTTATCGACGAGCATCAAAATTGTGGCACTCCAGACAAAATCTCGTACTGTGGGTGACATGGCCACTTTAATCATTGCTATGATAACTACCATCTACTAAACGGTCTAAGTTGGGGTAGGAGTGCTCTGACGATGAATGAGTTCCTTATTGTACTTTCTAAACAATCGCTCAGTATAGCAAAATTGTTGGCTGGAATACGTTTATTATTATCCAATTTTTAGATATGCGATTTTAAACATAAATAAGGTGCTGAAATTGACTGCACAAATCTTTTACTGTAACCTCTTCAGTTGTTCCTCATGTTGTTTTAAGGAAAGCTCGAAATAGGAGCATTATGGTAGATTTTTTACCACAAGCAGTGCGAGGAAGAGAAACTATGTACAATAGCATCCATTTCACAATATTGGCATCCGGTTCCCGTCTGAATTTCAAGAGTAGATATGAGCTGAGGGCATAGAAGTGCCTGACGTTCTCTGTGTACATGTCCTATTACCTGATAATAGCAGTCGTAACACGGGATAGTGTGATGCTGTGCGAGTTTCTCTAGAAATCGTACCAAACCTTTGGTGAGGAGAAAAAGAGGTAAAGAGGCGAACTGAGATCTACTGGGGCTCATTTGAGCCATTTCATGATGAGTAGTACTAGAGATGATGCTGATGGATTTTATCATCGAGTAGTAAAATCACTAATCCAATATATCTTTGCATATTTCTTGGAATAAATCCAATAATGCCTTCGGTTGTTGATTTAACCGCAGCGAAAAAATCATTAGACAATATTATAAGTGCACAAGAGATGAGTGGACTGTTGTGTGGACTCGTCTCCGTTACCAGGACTCACCTGTCGACAATGAATGGTTGTGGACAATATTGATGTGAATAATTCTGGTTTTGAAGAAGTTGAATGCAGCAAAAATTCTACTTCAGTGAATTTCTCTTCCGACCTCGTCTAAGATTAAGCATTTAAGAAGATATGGATTTATCATATTGGCGTTCAATGAAAATCGACTTTTTTTCAAATTTATTGCCGCGGTATGGGCAATCTATGTAAAACAGAGTGCTGCCGGATGCATTGCCACCGTGAAACCGGATCTATCATCATGCTTGATTATATCACTTCATCAAAGCCATAGAACTTCGACATGAACCATACTCAATTCAAATGTCAAGCACACGGAATATGTGAGAAACTAAGGTCTGTCCTCTTGTTGGTTATTAGACATCATCAGAAATCATGTCCATCGAGTACGCCTTCCTCATATTGGTGCTTCTGCTACGAAGTACCCATTCTATCGAAAAAGCTTCTAAGTTTTTAAGGATTAAAATTAGTTTACTTAGGATTTGCCTTTCGCCAACGGTTTTCCAACAAAACGAATTAACCTTATATATACCGTTAACGCACAAGCTATTTTCGCAGAAAACGGGGCTGAAATTGGTGTAATGTGTATCATCTTTATAAGGCGTTACAGATATGTAGACATGTTCTTCGAAACAGAAATCTTAAAAGCAACACTAAGGGCCTATTTAGGTATGTTAATATTTGGTGGTGTGTCATTCACGATGAAGAGAAGGTACATGCGGCGGATGAACTACCGGTACACATAGCGCCTGAGCATCCAACAGAAGCTGCGTTCACAAGAAGCACCTAAAGCAAAAAATATTTTAGGGCTTTGTTCTACAACGTAGCAGTTGATATTTACGGTTACAACGTCGGTGCTCATTAGAAAATACAAACACTACTGGATTGCTATCTTAGACCTTGTAACCCGGCTTCGTCCGACTCGGAATGTGTGACCATGTCATATTGGCATCGTGAGTTGGAAATCCAGTCGAACATGTACGACGCCTAGCCAAAATTAAACTTGTCAAAGGTTTTTACGACGATCTTTAAAAAAGTGAAAACGTTGACTTTTGAGTAGTGGTGAAGCAATGTCTAATTTTGTCATTAATTTACACCGTCATGAGTCATGTTTGACTCGCATGTGTTGGGTTGCTTAAAAGAACGAACGACGTACTTTCAATACGACTTTTCGTGAGAGTTTCTTAATAAATTTTATCCAACTAACGTTTGAGCGTCTTCGTGTCCTCCAAATCCTTGATAATTCGAGTCGATTGATCACATCTGCTCATTTTTGCGGCGTTGTTCTTCGTAGTTGCATCAATCCAGTGCAGTGGAGCACAGGAACAATGAAGCATCACCACACTATGGTGCCTTCTTAAACAGAGTGTTTATGGACTCACTATCCACTGTTTATTTGCTTTCAAGAGGGTAATCGATCCTGTATTAGTTGGTGTTATTTAGATTATCTGGCACATAGCAAAGTAATTCTTCGCTGTGACAGTTGCTGAATAAAAACTTTTATGACAACATCGGTTAGCTGAGTGATACTGAAAGATATTATTGAAGCAGAGGCTAAGTGAAAGTCGGTTTGCAAAGCTTTATTAAGAGCGTTATTTTCTTAAACTCGCGAAGGATAAATTTTTTCTACTCACGGTAGTAGAGGATATGGGTGTGAAGTGCAGTTTCATGAAAGATACCGAGCTATTTTCTCGAACTCACATTCCTATGCTTGCACTAGTAAGCACTCATCATGTAGGCGCAGGCGCAAAGCAGGCTTCAAATTGAGTGAGAAAAAACAAGGAGTTCATCCTCCTATATCCATCTACCTCTCAAAAGAGCGATGTAGTTTTCCGGCCAATCGGCGGGAATACATTAGTGAAAGAGGTCCACGAAAATAAGAAATGAGAAGTTATAACTACGATAGATATCATGTGCCAAGTATATTCATCTCAGAGGATCAACTTGTAGTCTGGGATCTTTTATCAAATAGTTGCCTTTTAAAAGCTGCCTAAGATGAGCGGGGTTAGCGGTAGGAATATATTCTTCTATGGACTTTATGTTACTGACCTCGTGGGCAAGAAGGAAACGATGAGTGCGCTTGTCATGACTGAAGTACTTCCCTTTTCGTTTACATTATGGAAGTGTTCAAAAAACAAGACAATGTATCACAAGAATTACACATGTGCCTTTACAGGCTCCGAAAAAAGCGCATTTGTCGAAACGTTATCCATTAGTAATCAAACACCTGTTAGCATCCTCGCGTCGAGATGGAAAGTGCACTTATAAAGAAGTTTTCATTTAAGTGCATTCCTTATGAAATCGGAGTCTTTTGACCGCTTAAACATTAGAAAGACTAGATACTTAGTGCTACCTAACTATAGTTCAAAAATTCTGTGGTAGATTCCAACTATAAGCAGAAGCATACCTAAATCACTTGGAACTTTCGACATCGTGTATCTACGTTACTATTGACGCGAAGTAGGTATAATACTATATTCTCGTAAAAAGATGAATTAACAAAGAATTGGATGTGTTGGGTATGAAGCCGAGCAATCATTGCAACTTTG